TGTCTAAGATTCTAGACAAGATATTGCAAAGGTAGTCAGAATATCACAGATGCTATGGTTTGGGGAATCCCCCCCATGACTGGCTAGGAGCTGTAAAGCTTCCTAACACTTCTCAAAACCAGCTCAGTTACTCACTATTTACTCATGGTTGATACCTGTCTCTGTAGTAAAGTCACTTTCAAAATATTCAATTCCCATTTTTAAGTGGAAGAAACACATTTCTCTGCTAGATTTTAATGAAAAGTAATTTCTTTGAAAATTAATAACTCCTCTTTTTTCCTAAGGTTCTCTACATAGCTGGAGGTTTAACTTAGGAGGGGGCCTGGTCAGATGGACATAGCTACTGTACGGGAGGGGTGGGGGCCACACTTACAGGTTCCCAGTGCCAAATATAGTCACCCATTACAGCAGGATCCTGTTGAGAAGCAGTGAAGGCCAGGATGAAGCAATTGCTCTTCATTGAACCATCTAACTGGCAAAAGAGCTTAGGTGAAAATATCTATGCCTATGGATTTTCAGAATGAGATAAATCTCTAAGCAGTATTGACACTACTTCAAGAGTTTAGGAGCTTTAAATCATCTTGTGGAAGAGTCTGTTTCTCTACTGGCTATATTGAAGAGCACTTCTTTCCTTTTTCCCCCCTACAATCCCTATTGTAATCAATGACCCTTTCCTGTAGGTGCTATGCTTTCCTTTAACTGCTGTGTGAGGTATACCAAGTATATCACAGCTGACCCCACATACACTGTACTCTCCAGCTGGTTGTGCCAACATGCTTAGTTATGAAAAATGCAGCATTTTCCGAGTAACTAATCTTGTTGAAATGCTCTTATTTAATCAACAGTTATCATTCTGCCAAAATCATGTCAGTTTCCTCAATTTGAGGAATCTTCATGTAAGTAATTGGACATATATCCTGAGTAATTCTAGATTTCTGTCTGGTTTATTTCTCTACTATGCATTTCAGGCCAGTTATTACAAATATGGGCAGATATCATGTATGATGTATCATATATCATGTATTATGTATGAGATATATGATATTAATATCACTTTGTTTAACTGCAGAATAGCATCAAAACCATTCCAGTTTCCAGAGGCTGGCTGATATTCCTTCCTGCAAAAAATTGTTTTTATAACAATGCAACAATGTTTTATAACAAGGCCAAATCAAACACTGCTTTGAGCAGTTCTTGAAGGAAATGTTGAAAGGTCAAGCCTAGTAAAGGCAAGTTAAACAATAAAGTGACAGCTGCTCCTTGCATCCTTTAGCTTGTCACATGCAGTTCCTACTAGATTAACTGGGGGTGAAGTTTGTGTGTCCAAGTGTATTTGCCACGAGAAAGTTGCATATCCCCTGAAAAAGTTCAAAAGTCATGAAACAAATATAAACAGACATACTGTTTCTGAATCCATTGTACTGATTATCCTGGGTGTCAACATGTTCCAAAAGAATTAATCTTTATCATTTGACATGTGGCATGAAAAACCCTGACAAAACGAAATAAGAAGAACAAATCTTATGAGGAGTGGATTAGCTGAGGGAGCTGGGGTTGTTTAGCTGGGAAGAAAGGGGACTCAGGGGGGCTCTTAATGCTCTCTCCAACTGCCTCAAGCTGAGCCAGAAGGGGTTTAGATTGGATTTAATGGTAACATTGCACTGTTAGGTTAATGGTTTTACTCAATTATCTCGGAGGTCTTTTCTGAACTTAAAGATTCTATAATTCTAAGAAATTATAGGGGGTGTTTTACCCTATGAAGGGGTTAAAACAGTAAAGCAGCACAGTAAAAATTGTGAAAGAAAAGAATTTTGAAACTACAAAGTAGTTACAAGTTACAATAATCTCTTTTGGCTAACTGGTGTAGATACATTATGTTCAAAAGTGTATTAATGTACTGTACTTTATGGTAAAAGATGATACCACTTCCCTTTTTTCTAATATAAAAAGTCTATTTTTCCATGGATTTTACTGGGTATCTCCATTAGAAGAAGACTAGGAAAAAAAAAAGTCAGTTGACTTTGATGTAGTTCTATTTGGTTTGTTTGTTGTTTTCAACAAATAATGTACAAAGACCTGTATGCTGGATTGCATGAGAAAGTGCTGTTGCGCACAAACCACTTTTTGCCAGCACTGGGTCTGGAAGCATTTCCTTGGTGTGATGCCAAGCAGGTTTTGTTTTTTTTTTTTGTCTATTCCTTATCCACAAACTCAGGGCTGCACTCGAACCAGTACTGTTTGACTTCAGCCCATGGTAACATGGTAACATGGCTGATCCCAGACTCCACGTCTTCATCCCATATACCAGATTCTGTCACCCTGGCTACAGCTGTCCCAGTACCAAAGCCTTTATACTGCCAATTTCCAGTTAATTTCTTCCCTATATGCTAGCAATTAATATATATCTAAAAATCTGTAGACTAAACTTTAAAATAAGCATTACTACGAGTATGTAATTTTTTGTTTAAGTTTGTATTATATTAAAATGCAGCCTACAAGAAAACACCTTTAAATAAGTAAAATGTAATTGAAAACCACAAATAAATCTATAAACTCTTCCAGATCTAACACGATGATCCAAATCCAGGTCAGGTAGCTAGTAACAGATGCAATATATCTGAGCATTCAGGTGACTCCATTGAATGTAGCAGAAATGTTTACATATTGTAAGTGAAATGTGTGTTTTCAGGTTTTACTGGATGAGGCTAAAAGCTGACTATTTCTTATGCATATAGAAAATAATTGTGCTGGTATCATTCTCATCCTCAGTAACTGGCCTTCTTCATGTGACATTAATAAAGAACTTTGTTGCCACTTGCAGCAGATAAGTCAAAACCTGTTTAGGTGCAGTAATTTAATTTTCCTGCCCCTACATCATAGTTGAGTCAGAGTAGTAGTCTATGGAGTATTATATTTTGTTGTTGCTCTCACTGTACTCCTACAGAGGATTTAATTCCCAGGATTGTTAAGGCAGCAGTCTCTATGACCCTGAAATGCAAATAAAAATGTAAGAGAATTTTTAGAAGATTGTGCTTACTGCAGCTTTCCATGACAATTGCAGCAGGCATAACTTTTATCTAAACCCGAGTTCTGTTTACAGCTGCACTTGCCCACCAATTATTTTACCAGCCCAAGGCAGGTCAAAAGCTCTGGCAGGATGTTGAGCAACTGATTGCTACATAAACACTCTTGTCTGAGAAATGGCTTAGTTTTGCAGCTATTGTTGAATGTGAAACAAAGTACGTTCTCACTTAGGTCTGAATTTTTTCTTGAGTTTAACAGTAGGACTTGAACTTGGCTGTGATGAACAAGACATACCAGAGAAAAAGTAAATATTAAAGGATAAATGTGCATTCTTCCAACTTTACTCACTGATGGTAGCAAATGCCAGAAGATGATGATGTATGCAATGAGTCACATCAGCCGTAACTATGAACAAATATTTCGTGTTGATTAATTCTTAATTGATTCTGATGCTTTCGCCAAAAATAGAAAATAAAATAAGCCGCTGATCAAGAGTCTTGTGAAGTCCACACTTTATGTCATTTATACACTTTATGGAGGCTATCCAATGAATTTTCAAATAGAAAGCGGTATTTCCAATTCTCCTTTCAGATCTGAGTGAACAGAGTGAAATGTGATGACTAAAAACTCCAAGAAGAGTTTTCATCCATATGATGGTGTCTCAGACTATGGTCATTCCAGCCACTCCTACTCAATAACAGTAGTCAAACTATGAGAGAAAGGAGGGCAGAAATGGGTCAAAATAGGGGAGAAGCAAGCAGAATGGTCACATCTGGAGGTGATTTATATTCCACTCATGATAGTACATGAGTTAGGTTAGTACTCTAACCTAAAAGTTGACATAAAAATCCCTCAAGTTTGTGGATAAGTAGTGGAGCAAAAAAAATGCTCATCTAGCTATTCCTTAGCAAGAAATCAGCAGGATTGGAGAAACACTGGCATGACTGGAGCCAGTGCATCTGTACCCACTATTCCCTTTCCATTGGGGTAAAATGCATTTATGCTTTTTGGTAACCCCACGTTTTTTTCAACCCATATTTTGTCTTTCACAAAATAAATTAAGCTTACTGTGTTCTCTGCAAGCAAGAGGATATGTGGGGAGCTTCTCCTGCTCTGGAGCAAAGCACTCTTGCTATGGCCTTTGTGGATTTCAGAGGTATCACATTTATTTCTATGCCTTGATGAGGCTAGTCCCTATTTGAGAAGAATTACTGGAATACATTGATCACTATAGACTACCTGGGCATTTTACAAGCCTATAAGGCTATGTTTTTTTCTGAAATAATATATTATAACACATCTAGTAATTTGTACATTGGCATAAACACTGAGAAATGTTATCTTTTTGCTTTGAATATGATAGCAATTCAGAGACAGCTAAAGGTATCTGTTCTTCATCTTTGCACGGGTTAACTGGGGAAACCATCTCTGTGGCATTTCTTTTTGCTCCAAGAGGAAACACGTCTCTTGCAATAGGTAAGGCAAAAGATGGGTAAAGGAATTTCTGGTGTAAGACTGAAATCTGTGCGTTGCAAAAAATCCTCCCTTGTGCAAATCTGAGGATGCAGCAAAGTTTTGAACTATAGAGAAACAGACACGCAGAGCTTGAGATAAACAAAATTCAGTGCTTCAGTTTCAGTAAGTGCAGCTTTTGTCTTTGAGATGCTGTACATGCCTGGGTCAGGGAACAAACAAAAATGGGGGGAAGCGATCTCAGACAGAGCTTCCTTTATGTTACCGATCTTATCTTCCCTGAAAGAAAGGACAAGAGCGATGTAACTCTAGATTAAAGACACCAAGCCATCCAGGTTGCGCCTTCGGGTGCCGCGGGGAGAGGCAGCGGCCGAGAGGCAGGAGGGTCCCCGCGGGGGATGCGGGGATGCCGAGGCCGGTCCAGGCGGGAGGCGCGGAGCATCCCAGCATCCCCGCCGCCGGGCAGCATGGCAGCTGCCGGGGAGGTGGAGCCAGCCGGTGACCTGCCAGCATCGCAGCACGGGCTCATCGTCTGGCAACAGTGAATCCTCCCTTCTCCCTTCCTACCTGCGCCGGAAAACGCGAGATCAAGATAAAATTAAAACACATCATTAAAAAAAAAAAAAAAAAAAGGTTTTTTTTTAACAGCGGGGCTGGCAGGAGAAAATCGTGCAGGAGGGGCCAGGTGCGCAGGGCCGCCTCTCCGCCGGCGGCGGGAGGTGCATGAGGAGCTCGGCCGGGCGCCGCCGCCATGGAGCACATCCGGATGCCCAAGGTGGGTCCCGCCGGGTGGTCCCGGCCGCAGCAGCATCCCTCCTGCCGCCCTCCGCTCCCGCGGAAAGGAGGCTTTTACCGCAGCCCCGAGGGCCGCAGGCTGGGCACAGCCTTCCTCCGCGGGCTTCCTTGCTCCTGCTGCGGGATGGTTTTCGGCCAGTTTTCCATGAAATCCGCCCCGAATGCCGAGAAGTGGGCGCATTGCTCCGCGGTGTGGGCCGGGGATTTGACGGGCATTTTCACTGCTTTTCATGCAGTGCCTCCTGTTAACGCTGGCACTGACCATGAGCTGTAGATACCCGAAATGAGAGCGGCGTTATCTGCTTTTCAGACGCCTTTAGTTTGCCCCAAGATTTCAGACACCGTGATGAATTTGTTTAGTGTTTGTGTTTATATGTTTGATGTTTGGCCAGCGTAATCAGTGTTTTTCTACAGCTTTCTAAACCCGAGGCCTGTATTTTTTAAGAAAATTGCCACCTTGATCTAAAAAAAAAGATACAGTTTTAAAAATATACAGTTTTGACACATAAAAAAATTAGATTAAAAGTAATAATAAAAAAGTGAACAAGAGCTATATGTTAATTTGAAATGGGGTGGGATATATTATCATATTTGTTTATTTATTTACTTATTTATTTATTTATGTATTTATTTATGTATTAAGCCAACCCCCTGAAATTTATTTGTATTTGATTTGGGCCCATTTATTTGTTGTCAGTATTTAACATGATGGCCTAAATTTGAGATTAGGGCCTTGTCCTTTCTTTATCTATATTTTAGGGCCTTTAGGTGTTAATCTGCAAATCTATTAAGAAGATAATCATTTATAACAACTGTTTTTCCTCACATCTCATTTCATGACCTATTGGCTGCCTTTTTGGAAAGGAAGAATCTCAGAATAGTAAGCATGTATCTACTGCAGGTGGGAAACAATCAGTGAAAGTTATTTGAACAGTTTTTTCTGACCATTTGCTGAAGAATGCTGAAAGCATGAATGAGGAAAATGTTGGAGACAAATAAGTGTAGAAAAATATCATAAAAGTAAATGGTTATATTTGCTGTGAATGGAAGATCCGGGCAAGTCCCTGTTGCAGACAATGGAACCTTATCTGTTTGCTTTTTTACAACCAGGTCCTTAAAATGTTACTCTGCATATGTAAAACCCATTTCAGTATCTGACAACTGTGAGAAGGGACTGTACTGATGCCTCTAGTCACTGAAAATCTTACTCAGTGTGAAGTGATTCTGCAGTCCTGGATCCAGGCAGTCCCTTGCATTATAGCTATGCTAGAAGTTATCTGATGTAATAAAGCAGAGCAGAAGGTATGATTTAAAGGTACAAGTGGTACAAAAATTCTTTAAAATTTCCTACATAAATGTAGAAAATCGACATGAGTCACTACTGAAATAATTAATCTCTCCAGTTACTCCTAAATATACTGACAAGTGCTACTTAGCAGAATTGATATCAGATTTTTTTCTCAAGAAAACCTCATCTTAAAATCAACCACTGGAACAATGTTGGTTTTTCTTTGGTTTTGTTTTTATTGAATTTGGTTTTGATAATTTGGAATTGAACATTAAATTTCAATGCCAGGAAGGTAAAAATAGGTAAGGGAAAACTATGTGACTCTATGGATATTCTCGCAGTATTATGTGTTGGTCTCTGGTGTCATATTTCCTGACTTCATCCAATTTTGTCCTGAGAGAAATCTGGTAAGCAAATACCCTACTCTGTAAAGGCATTAATCTCAGAATAAAGACACTTTTCTTGATTTGCAAACCCAGTCAAAAGGAAAATCAAGATAAATCCCATACTTAGTAAATAATAACTTTAATAATATCTGAAAACAAAATTCTTGCCCCAAGTAAAAGCTTTTTCTTCAAGGGCAGGTCTGTATTACATGATGCCCGTTAGCTCTCAGCAATTGTTTTAAGTGAAATATAACTGTAGTGTGTGATGGTTCATAAGTATTAAAATTATTAATCAATCATACACAAATACAACAGTAAATTAGTAAATCATAAATAAAACATACCTGACATTTAAAAAACAGAAGGTGATTCAATACCAGTTGGACCAGTAGTTCATTTAGGTCACTACTCTGTGTCTGACAGTGACAGAGGAGAGAGAACATTTAAACCTGGCCACATGCTGTACCTTCTCAACAATACAGTTGTATTAGGGTCCAACCCTTCCTAGTTCCATTAGTGTCCGTTTATGGACCTCTCTGTGTGGCTCCACTTGCCTGCATGGAAGCAATTTACAGAAGGTCTTGGCTTTACAAAAAAATTACTTTCTTATGTCCGTTAAAAGTTCTTAGTAGTTTCCTTCAGGACTCCTTCATTCTAGCTTCAGGAATTTGTTCACCTTATCCATGCCTTCACAGTGAATCTTGATCACAACCCACCAGATTCTGATAATTTCAGAGAAATGTCATCAATGACCCCAAAACCTTTTTCCTGTGTCAAAACTATCAATTATGAGTCCATGGTTCTGTAGATATGGTCTAGGTTGTTTTTCCTAAAGTAGGTATTCTCCTTTATGTCAATCTCTGTTGAAACCCCTGTGTCTCTTTTGCCCATACACTGTTTTGCAAGGCTTCTCTGTGGTGGGATTTCCTACTGCAAAAAGCCATTGTGGTTCTTTCCCAACCGACTATGTGTGTCCACCTCCTAACACAGTATCTTGTATACTGAACACTATTGTTCTCCATATGCACTATATTTTCACAAGTTAAATGCGATCCTATGTATGAGGGCTGTAATTGAAGTATATTTAAGAGTTGCAAACAGCCACTCATTGCTAAATAGAATTATATGTAACTCCAATAGCCTTTTAAAAATTAGTAAAAACAGTGACTGACATGAGTTTGAATGGAACAGCAAGATAGTTTAGGATAACTCTACAAAGCCAAAATGTGTCAAATTGCTCATAACAGTCATAAAAATGAATAAGCAATACTTCTGTGCAGATTAGAAGCACGTTTTATGACCATGTGTAGAGAGATATGTCTGGCCATGGACAGGATGACAGATATAGAGCTCTGTGTATATGTTTACTTCAGAGGGCTACTTTGTGCACTGCTGCTACTCAGTTACTTTATTTGCCACTCTTCATATAATTTGTCTTTGTATATTGGCAGCAGGCCTGCTGAATAGCCTTCATACAATAAAGCACAAATATCCCTTGTGTAACAGCTGTATTTAGTGTCTTCATTTAGCCCAGAAATTCTTTTGGCTCAGTATCTCTTTTTAAGAGAATATTTTGGATGACTTGCATGGCTCTAGTGCTTTCATTTTTGTGATGTTATGGTAAGGTATTTCCTTTAGATGATGCTTAAATTCGGGTAGAATTTAAGATATGCTACCATGTTAATGACAAGTCTTTCTAACAGATGTATTGATTTCCAAAAAAAAATTCCAGCATGTGTAAATGAGTTGTGTTTGCATTTGTTTTTAATCTATTTTCCTTTCCACAGCTTTTGCTTTTCATTCTGCAAGTTTTATAACACGTGTCTGTTTTTACAAAGTCTCTGTCAGGAGACTCATAAAATTTACATCCACTGTATAGTATATATGACAATGTAAATGACAAAATGTTTGTCTGGGTTTTTATTTAGGTTAATGGCAAAACTGAACCTAGTCTTTAGTCTCCAGCTACTTGTTCTGGGTTGCTGGATCTCCACCATTTATTTTTTTTTTTAAGCTAAGATGGCATATTCTACCACTGCCTGTGTTATTATAGTCATGTTCTCCATATTCAGGCTACAATTCCTTATGGAAAAGTTCGATTTTACTTCAGTGAGGTAGGAAGGTGGCAGCAATCCACAGGCAATATCAGGAACTGTGTGGGGATGTGGACTGGTTGTTTCTCCCACAGGCCAGCGAATGGAGTGCCACAGGAACTTCACTGTAGTCCTAGTGCTTGGCTCAACTTTAGTTTACTTTGCTACTTAGAAAAGGTGGAGGAGGTGAGGTTAGCATGGCCCTTGCCTTTTACTGATGTTTTGGGTCATCAGCAGACACATTAGTGCAACCTCTTTTAAGTGCCAAGTTGATTTTTTTGTTTTTCAAGTGTTGTGTAAAGGTGGTTTCTGTTCTTGCCTCTAAGTGTACAACTTAGAGCAGTGCACCTCACAGTTCAGCTGGTGTTTTCTGATTCCATAACTGTTTTGTCACTTTACATCATTGTTAAGAAATTTTTAACCTATTTTGGGGCCAGTGATGTTTAATGACTTCAAATAATCACTCTACTTGACTGCTTTAGTCAAGTGATGCTTTGAAACATCTACACTAGTTGCGGACAATTTTAACTCTGATTTTGTGTTAGGGATTTTTTTTTTCTGATAAATAAATCTTCCCAATTTAAAATGCAATTCAGTTTTCTTTGAGTTCTATTTATTCCATCTTTGTGCTTTGAAACGTTGAACACAAATGATAAATTTAATACAAATGAGCTTTGTAATATACTGTGCCAGAAAATGTTCTGTGGTTTGACATTCAAGACTGGAGGTGGATAAAATGAAAATAGGAACTGCAGAAAATATCTGCATGTTGTGGGATTGGACTTAAAATAACTGTTTGGGATTTTGTCCCTAAAATATTTGTTTTGAATTGGAGTCATCAAGATACCTGCTTATTAGTGTGAGTTTTGATTTGAACAAAATGTTGTAACAGCCATTATTCTCAGAATATTTAGATAGAAAATGGTCAAAAGATCATGCAGACTTTCATATTTTCAATAATGTGACCCTCAATGAAGAGGCAGCTGGATAGAATCATGAAACAAGCTCTAAAAAACATGGATAGCCACATACTTTAATTTGCTGTCTTGGTGTCCATGTCTAAACCAGTAACTCAAAAACTTATTGAGCTTGAAAAATGGTACTGAAAATCATTAAGACAGCATGTCTGCAGGGTACTCTTTGATTTTTGTTTATACATAGCAGGAGACTGGGGTTTCAGTGGAGGATTTGGAAAGTTTGGCTTTGGGGTGGT